GTGATTTAGAGACCATCTTAAAGGATGCAGGTTTCCTCCATACTGCCAAACTTTGGGGAAGTTGATCCTTAGTACTAGAAAGAATAATGAACAAATGAATATTGTGAAGGAAGAGAGAGTTAATTTTCATATATGTGGATTTGGGTGCCTGTAGAAGCTAGAAGAGGGTGTTGGATCCGCTGAAGCTGGAGTTACGGGTGCTTGTGAGCTTCCTGGTGGACGCTGAGAGCCTAACTTGGGTCCGGAAGAGGAATCAGTACTTTGGCCACTGAGGAGCTCTTCCACCCCTAAAGTTTGTTTTTTGTTTTTTTGAGGTAGAGTATATCTCCAGCTGGCCTGGAAGTCACTATGAAGACTAGGCTGGCTTGAACTCACAGAGATCCTCCTGCTTCTGCCTCCCAGGATGATAAGATTTAAAGACATGAAGTTTTGTTTATTTTTTTAATTATGTGTATGTATCAGTGTGGGAGAACATGCTGGTGCCCATGGAGGCCAGTGGCATTGGATCCTCTGGAACTGGAGTTCTAGGTATTTGTGAGCTGCCTGACATGGGAGTTGGGATCCTGACCCCAGTCTATATAATATAGCAGCAGAATCATCTCTCCAGCCCTGTGGTTTTTACTATTACAAATAATGTGGTGGAGGACTTCAGGTGTAGCTCATTGGGGGAGTGCTTGCCTGGCATGTGTAAGGCCCTGGGTTTGATCACCAAAGCCACAAGTAAGTAAGTAGAAATCAGTAGAAAACCTGGGAAATGTCTTTGCAACTTGTGTGCCAGCATCCACACCAACCCCTGCCAGTGAAACTCCCAGCTTCGTGACAAGAGCTGACACCTGTGTAGAAATGTGTACGTGTATTGTAGTGGCTCAGGCTTCTGTCTCATTTTATAGAGAGGTATTTCCAGGTTCCAGTGTTGGTGTCTGCTGTCACCTTACTCCGGAGACTCTGCTCTCTGCTGCCTCTCAGCAGTTCCTGGAAGGCAGCTCCTACCAAGCTGCACAAAGTGGAAAACAGCCCATTCTGCGTGCCTCCAGAAGGAAGACGCCACTAGGGTGTATGGAAGTTTAAAGGGGGGGTGAGGGTGTGGCGGCTGCCCAGCAATCCTGATGGACAAGGACTTTATGCGGCTGATTCTAGGATCTTTGCTCAAAGGTGCCACAGTACAAGCTTGCAGAGGCCATTTCCATAAGATATCTGCAGTCATGTGTGTAAAATATGTATAGAAGCATCAGCATATGAGGGACCTGTCAGTGTTACCAGCACAAGTCCTATTCCCTCACCACGGGACTAGCCATCCCTCCAGGTCCATTGGTCCCCAGTGTTCTGACTCTCCCGTATCCATGTTGGTAGGATCCCCAAGAAGCAGATTGTGCCCCCTGATTGCACCTCAGATGCTGTATGCTGAAGATATATATACATATAATTGCACCTCAGATGCTGTACACTGAAGATGTCTATACACATAATTGCACCTCAGATGCTGTACACTGAAGATGTATACACACATAATTTAAGAGTGACAGCAGTACATATGTGCTGCCAAGTAAGGCACTTGGGTTTGTGTTGGCTCCCTGCAGCTGTCGTGGTATGGTACTCACAAACAGATCAAACCACCTGGGACCTGGAGCCACAGGTTCGTTAGATGGTGTGCCAGAGGAAGATGCTGTGGAAGGCTTATTCTGAGAAAGGCTCAAGAACACAAGAATTGTTAACAAGAAGTTGAGACCATTTGGGTAGCCTCAAGCCTGGATGGTGGATGGGGACCAGAAGGGAGGGGATGGTATAATCAATTCAGTGCTGTTCTGATGCATATGTAGGCTATTTTATTGGCACACTTTATCTGTGACATTAATAAGATTAGCTGTAAGGAGGATAGCTCATCGTCAGATTGCAGAGATATTTATAGCTCATTTCCTAATTATATAATTCAAATGGAGTAGTAGGCAATAGTACAGTAATAGCTTCAACAGTGTTGTCACTTAAATGTGTTTAGGAATGACAGGTTTCTTTAGTGTATGAGGTACAGGGTGCATTGTTCAAACACCTGGCATAGAGTTCTAACCAAACCCTAAAGAAAAGCCACAAACACATGTTTTATTTATAGTAATATTCTCTGTCTTCTGGGTATGTTGTGTGCATGAGTGAGAGAGAGATGCCAGATAAGTTATTGGTCATATTTTCCCTTGGATTAGAAGATAAATCCACCTCTTAGACTGTGCTCAGTTCCTTTTTAAGAACAAAGCAAGTAGGAGAACTACAAGTTCCTAAGATTCTCTTAATTGTTGGTGTTTCAACCTGCATCTCTCCCAGTGGGCCTTGCTATGTAGCATAGTCTGGACAGGGACATGCCATTCTCCTACTTCAGCTACTCAAGTCCTGGGATTGCACAGCCACACCTGGCTCCATGTGCTTTCTGATAACATAGCTGTGCTACCCCACCCTCATCTGAATCAGCCTTCTCTTTCTTCTTTTCCTAATGTGACTGCAGCTCCCAGATCTGCATGATTTGATGAGCCTTTTGTTACAGCACCTCTGCTGCTTGAGTGTCGTATTTCTTCCAGCTTATTTCAAGTTCAAAACAGCCAAGGGGCAGGGTTAACATATAACCTACATGGGGATAAAAAGACCATTTTCACTTGCCCGTGTTTGCTGGGTGAACAAGGCTAAATTGAGTTCATTTTGTTTTTTGAGACAGGGCCTCATGTAGCCTAGACTGGCTTTGAAAGTCTCATCCTACCGTCTCTCCCTCCTAAGTGCTGAGATTATAAGCAAGTTTCACCATGTCCAAATCCCTGACTTTATGCACTCCAGGAAAATACCCTACAAACTGAACGACATCTTCGGCCCCCTCAGTCAAGTGTGTGTTTATGCACGCGTGTGTATGCACATGCACTCATGTGCATGTGTGCCTGCTCTCGTGTACCTGTAGAGGCCAAAAGAGGGTGTATGATCCCCTGGAGCTGGTGTTAAAGGCAGTTGGGAGTGGCTTGAAATGTGCTGGGAATTGAACTCTCGTCTTCTGCCAATCAGGAAGACCTCTTAACCTCTGAGCATCCCTGCAGTTCCCTCCTCCAAAATCTTACAGCTTGACTGTATCTGGGTTTCCTATTTCTTATCACTAATTTTTAATATAAAACTCGTTAGATCATATCAGTTTTGTCCCGAGAGTTTATTCCTTATCAAGTCTTGGTGGAGTAAGTCTAGACTTACTTAGGAAGGGAAACTATATTCCTAGAAAAACCATCCCCGAGTGGACGTCTGAGATTAACACTCCCAGAGATCATGGTTGGTGCACTTGTGAAAGGGAAAGGGGCTTCTGAGCTCTGTACTAGGAAAAGCCTTGGAGGAGGCTGGAATGTCATTTACAGGACCCTAGCTGAAGCTCTTGAAAACACCCCAAGCCACTGGCCCTGAGCTATGGAAGCCACACCTTGTGTGCACAGAAATGTACTTGTGCTATTCTTCACCCCATGCGACACCTTCCTGCTCCAGAGTGTGTGCTATGATGCCAGCACCCTTTGCTCCGACTAGGGCTGGAACGGTGGGTGAGTGCCCTTTATCTCCATTCAGGCTTGAGAGGAACAAGGTGAGCAGTCCCCAGGGAATGCTAAAGGACGCAGTAATTCACCGGAGCTTCTGATGTGAGGTGTTAGATGGGTCACGTTCCATGTGCTCCTCACCTGTACTCAGCCAGCGTAGATGGCCGCAGATCTCAGCTTGGCCTCTGCAGTTCTATGATCCTGTTAGACGAAGCTGGTTCTGTTTCTGACCATATACATAACTTTCTCTCTATGTGACTCCAGAGGCAGAGGTGGGTGGATCTCGTAGGTTGGGTGCCACCCTGGTCTGCTCCTAAGTTCCGGGTCGGTCGGAGCTACAAGGTGAGACCCTGTCTCAAACTAATTTTTTGCCAGATGACCCCTTATGACTCTGTACGGTTATGAATCTTCCTTTTTTAATTTTATTTTTAGTTATGAGGGCAGAACGGGCTTGTGCATGTGAATGTTTTTGCCCACCGAAGCAAAACATCCCTGACAGTTGGTTACAGGTGGGAGTGGGAGCCGCCTGATGTGGGTAATGGGGATCGAACTTGGATCCCTTGGAAGAGGAAATACGTGCTGCTCACCACTAAGCCATCTTTTCCAACCGCATCAATCTTTCTTTGAAGACATGCTGTCTCCCTTGTCTTTAACGTTCGAGGGAAATTTATGGTGGGCGCCTTATAATTTCAAACAGGGATTTTGTGGCTGTGCTCTCAGGAAATGAGGGGCCCTCTACTCCTCGCGGTCCTCCGGCTTTGCCTTACTGACCCCTCTACCCAGATCCTGATGTCATTATGCAGCGGGGATGCATACGGGGTCTCTCCCAGGCTACGGGGCAGTCTGCTGGCAGGTGGCTGGCTGAGTTAGCCCCGCCTCAGGTCTTAGCCCCGCCCCACTACCCCGCTCGCATTGGCGCCACCAGCTGTCTCTCCGCACTGGGGAGGGGGCGCGCGGCTGCGGTCCCTCTGCAGAGGGCTGCGCGCTCCGCGGTCTCGGAGCTCCTCGTTTGGGCCCGTGCGCCCAGACCTCGGGAGCAGGGCTAAGCAGAGACCGCGACGTTCTGGGTAAGTGGAGGCTTTGGGTTAGGATCGAGGGCACTGACCCCCTGGTGGGAAGGTGACGGCTGCAGACCCGGGCTCCGGGTCACCAGACACGAGGGGCGCGGACTGCAAGGTCGCTGGTCCTCAGGCGTCTGCAGGTGGGTGACCCTGGACAGTTCTGCCTCCCGCTCGCTTCCCACGCTGTGCAGCCGGTGCCTGGGCACCGGCTACCTAGCCCTTGTCCTTCTTCAAGGCTTTTTGGGGGAACTGTGATTTTCGGCTCCGGTCTATGATAATTCTGCAGATAGCTTGAAGCTGTGGGCTATCTGTTCCACGCCCCCGGTATTTTCCTTTCTGAGCACTTTATCCTGAGCCCCGTCTCCTGCCACAGGGACGTCAAGCCTGGATTAGTGTCCTTCCTCCAGGAGGAATCTTCGCGGATCGTGTCTGGTGCTGGGAAAGGTTGCTTGCTCGGCTTGGATAGCGATTGCTCTTTGCTGCTCAAGAGGGGAAGAGGGTTGTGGTTGTTTTCTGTGGCCTTAGACATAAGATTCTGCCAGCGAAGGACAGCAGGCAGAGACGTTAAGGTTTCCAAGGTGATCGGGCTTCTCTCGAAGGTAAAGGCGAATCGTTTGCAATCTTAACAGTCTGCAAAGTTTTAACGCCTGCTGCCTGCATCCTTTCCCTGCCTCGGATACACTTGTTGGGGTGTTGATTTCTACAGTGATGTGCATTCGAAGAAGGCTCTTGTGCAAACATCTGGGCCATTCAGGTCAGTTTCAGATACTTCCTGGAATATGATCACATTTGAATATTTCTTCTATCGATAGCTTAGAAGGAATGCTCACTAAGGCTTGGGACCCTTAACACTGGGTTCTAGTGCTTATAAAGGGTGAGTGAGGAGAGACGGTAAATGGGTTTTGGTTTCATCATTATTCTAGAATTTTGTTTCAATTCCTACCTTTAAAAAAATCTCCTTATATCTTAAAATGATTTTTCAGGGTTCCAGTCCTACAGAGAATTAGAAGCTGGCACCCAAATGAAAGCACAGTACAGAATTTCCATGCAAGCAGAATGATTTACCTAACTTAGGATGTCTACCAACTAAAATCCATAGAATTTTTGAGTAATTGCCTTATGTCCCCACTCTTTAAGCCATTCCATTCTGTAGATTGTAAGGTTTTTTTTTTTTTTTTGGTGGTACTGGGGGATCAAACCCCAAACCTTGTGGCATGCTAGGCCAATGGTCTATCACAGAGCTACATGCCCAGCCCCACAGCTCAGCTTTATACACTCTTCTCCCTTGAGACACGGTCTCATGTAGCCAGCTGTGGCTTCAAGTACACGGTGTGGCTGTGGATGACCTTGATCGGTTCTCCTGCCTCCACCTCCCACACGCTGGCGCTGCCTGGTGCACCACCAAAACCGGCCAACACCAGCCAACGACGGAAGCCAAAGCTTCAGGAGCAGGCGTCTTGGTTTAACCTGAGCACTGTGGCTGACTGGCTTTAATCTCAGGCAGGCCGCTTAACTGCAGATGGAGATCTCCCCACCTCCTCACTCTGGGATGCTGTGGTGCAGGCTGGAGATGCTTGTAAAAGTGCTTCGCGCCGCCGGGCATTGGTGGCGCACGCCTTTAATCCCAGCACTTGGGAGGCAGAGGCAGGCGGATCTCTGTGAGTTCGAGACCATCCTGGACTACCAAGCGAGTTCCAGGACAGCCTCCGAAGCCACAGAGAAACCCTGTCTCGAAAAACCAAAAAAAAAAAAAAAAAAAAAGTGCTTCGCGCCGCCTCAAACGCACGGGTTGCACGACCAGTGTTAGCTATTACCTCGCTAACCTCCAGCTGTGTGCAGTTACGGTGGGAAAGTGTGAGTAGCAGACACTTCAGTGAAAATGTCAAAGTTACACAACAACTTTAAGATGGGAGAAAGATAGCAATGCTGGGTTTTTCTGAGTGTGGGTATGGAAAGTAGCACCTCCTTGGTGGAATGTACATTTTTAGAACGGAAACCGTATGCTACAATAGAAAGAACACCAGCGAGTCAAAATTTCTACTTCTAACTCTGGCTAGGACCTCATCTAGCCTAAGGCTTTCTGCAAGCCCACTGCCCGATTGGGCTGGACTTGATCAATCTTGAGTGCTCTCCTAAGTCCCTAGCAGTGCCATAGTTCTTCATTGCATGTGATGAGAGAGGAGTCCAGCTTGCCCTGTCACCCTGCTGTCTGTCGGTCTGTTGTTGTTGCTTGTTAAACTTTTTATGTGGGGCTATAACAATTCATGGAGAAGTCAACTAAGGACCGGGGCACTCTTGCAGAGTGACCACAAAGTTTTAACAAAAACAATAGAACAAAATGGGTTCATACAGGAAGCTTTTTTTGATAGGGCAAAAGCAAGCCTCAATTTGTAGCCATGGCTGTTTTGGTATGTCCCACAGGACATGTGCCCCATATGATGTAATTTATACTAAAAATAATATGCTCCTGGTGTAATATAGCCCCACTTTTTTCTCTTATCAGGTTGGTCTTTGAATAAAGGAGAATTTTATTCAGCAAAGAGCTTTCATTCCGAGGGGAAGTTAAAGGAAGAATCATAAGTAACAGAAAAACAAGGCAATTATGTCCTGAAAAAGCCACAGAAGCAATTGTGGAGTGAAGCAGGAGAAATTGGACTCGGTGTGATATTTTTGTCATAAAAGGCTCCAAGAGGAAGAGAGAAGACACTCTGCAGAGAATGAAAGAGTGTAGTGTAAAAATGGAGACCAGAGTCTCTGAGATTCAGATCGAAACTAAGGAGGAGAAGGAGCCAGTAGCTGTTAGTCCTCAGGAAGAGAGGCAGCAGAGAAAAGCAGCCACTCTTTGCTTCAAGAGGAGGAAGAAAGCTGGCAAGATGAAGCCAAAAGCTGGTTCCAAGACTGCTGAGGTGACAAAGCATCCCCCAGAAGCTGAGGCTTCTGGGCAGCCACAGCCAGCGGGGGCCTGGGCCTCCATCAAACGCCTTGTCACACACAGGAAAAGGTCAGGGTCTTCAGAGACGCAGAAGCCGTCTGAGGCTGACGTGCAGCCCGAGGACACGGCTCTTCCTAAGAAAAAGGCCAAATCCAAACTCAAGATACCATGCATAAGATTCTCCAGAGGGGCAAAGAGAAGTCATCACTCTAAACTCACAGACGACTCAGACTACAACCTCAGAGTCCAGGGAGGGGCTGACGACTTGGAGATAAAAACCCAGACCCAGTCGACTGACCAAGCTAAGGCCACAGAGGGCCCACAGGAAGGTGGGTTGGTAGAGGAATGTAAGGCGGCCCAAGAGTCGCATGTCAGCAACAGCATCACATCTAGAGAGAATGTGATCTCTGTAGAACTGGAATCAGAAAAGGAGGCTTCTGCTGTTCAGATGGGAACTCCAGTGCTGGAAAAGGAACCTAAAGGGATTAAGGAAAAGCCAAGTGTACAAGCGCAGCAAGCAAGTCCAGTGGAGAGTTCAGGGGCAGACAGCCCCCGGCCAGCGACTTCTGATGTTCCTGCCTCGCCAGCAACCGCATATCAACGCAGCGTGGAAGGACCCAGTGATGGCATCCAAGAAAGTGCACCAAGTAGGAAAGACGACAGAAGTGGAAAGAGTACAACTGGAGAAAGGAAAGCCGGAGAAATTGTGCTGGACCAGGCGGAAGAAACTACATTGAGCCAGGAAGCTGCTGGCAGCCAGGCAGACAAGAGTGCAGTGATCCAGGCAGAGGAAGGTAAACTGAATCAGGCAGAGGAAGCCCCTGTGACTGCCATGGCCCAGACAGAGGAAGGTAAACTGAGTCAGGCAGAAGAAGTTTCAGTGGTTCAGGCAGAGGAAGCCCCCATGGCCCAGGCAGAGGAAGCCCCCGTGGCCCAGGCAGAGGAAGCCCCCATGGCCCAGGCAGAGGAAGCCCCCATGGCCCAGGCAGAGGAAGCCCCCGTGGCCCAGGCAGAGGAAGCCCCCGTGGCCCAGGCAGAGGAAGCCCCCGTGGCCCAGGCAGAGGAAACTGTCATGGCCCAGGCAGAGGAAGCCCCCGTGGCCCAGGCAGAGGAAGCTACCCTGGGCCAGGTACCAGATCTGAAAGAAAATGGAATCGATACAGAGAAACCCAGATCAGAAGAAAGCAAAAGAATGGAACCAATTGCTATTATCATTACAGACACTGAAATCAGTGAATTTGATGTTAAGAAATCTAAAAATGTCCCCAAGCAATTCCTGATTTCAATGGAAAATGAGCAAGTAGGGGTTTTTGCTAATGATAGTGATTTCGAAGGGAGAACTTCAGAACAATATGAAACACTCTTAATAGAAACAGCCTCTTCTCTCGTCAAGAATGCTATCCAGTTGTCTGTAGAACAGCTGGTTAATGAAATGGTTTCCGAGGATAATCAAATAAATACTCTGTTACAGTGACTTCATTTCCAGATCATGGGAAAGAAAGAAAACAACTCAAAGATGTTTATACATCTGTGGCACTTCTTTCTCAGTAATAAATTAAAGGCTTGTCATCTGTGGAATTTAAAGGTGCAGTTCCAGCCCAGAAGTGCTTAAGAGTAAATGAAGTTTATAAAACTCATTGAAACACAGTCACTTCTGGACTGGAGGGAGTCAGCACAGATCACAAGGTGCGGTGACATGCAGGAAGGTGCAGAAATGACATGATGAGTCTTGAGGAGGTCTACTTATTGAGCACTTGGTATGCTGTATGGCCCTTGCTGTTGCCGAATGTCATGAAGTCTGGGTCTTTCCTGATGGTTCGACCCTGTATATAGGTGAACATTGCCTTCACTTTTCTTTTACAGTATGTTTTCCTGTTGTTTCTAGTGGTGAATCAGGTGAGCTGGTGTCTAGTCCCACATGGGTTCCTTACAAAAGCCATTCACAGGTTCCTTCAGCCAGGCGAGTAGTTAACAAGTGTGGAAGCGTGGAATGCTTTTTCTTCTCTCCCCGTCTTCCTTCTGCCCAGCAGACCTGTGTATACCCGTCTCCGTGTGGACCTATCTGATGAGATGTTAGAAATAAATAAAGGGAATAGTATTTCTCCTAGACAACAAAGGATGCCCTTGGCAGAGCGACTCTTAAAGGCCCAGGAAAACCATAATATTCTTGTGAAACTATTTCTTCTTCACCAAACATGAACCATGTATACAACTGAATAAAAAGTCATAATTCATGCTAAAGCATAGATTTTTTTTCAACACCAGTGTTTTTCATTGTGTCTAACCACGATCCTGTAACATACTTCCCAACCCCACGGGTTAGGGGTCATACTGTACAGCACCGCTGCCCCCCCCCCACTATCTAACCTAAGTGATGATGTTACTACTTGTTACAACAGATGCAGGACAGACGGTATGATGGCTGTTGAAGAGCATCTGGAGGCATAGACACCAATGATTTTCATCGGCTCTGCATATACAGTGTTTATGGACTGCATATGTATACATTGCTTTTTCCTATACTTTCATTTTGTAAATATATATTGTGATCTCTTGCAGAAGTAACTAATGTGGCTTTGGAATTTAACCAAATGGTGAATGTTTAGCAAGACTCTTAACTGGAATGTGAAGCTATTTCCTGCAGGCTTGCCTATCTTCGTGTTTTAAATTTAGCCAGATAAAAACACATGACCCCCCCAATAAGTTTCTTTTAATTGTGTACCTTTTAGACATAAAAGTCACTGCTAAGGCATCTTTGAGAGAATACTTTAACCCACTGTGTATGGTGCTAATAGACTTGTATAGCTACCAGCAAGTATGTTTAAAATGAACAGTTTTAAATACCTGATTAAGGCTCGTGTGCTTTGCAGCATTTTAAATCATCCTGTATCTGTTTACTATATGAATGGCTCCAAGCCAATATACTTACATTAAAGTTTCTAATAATCTTATGAATGAGCAAAAGCTATAAAATACATAACACTTAGCAATTACTGAGGATATTTTGGATTGCGGATTTTGAAAAACAGACACAAAGTGAATATGTAATTTTGGAGGTAAGAAGGTAGCCCCAAGTTTCAAGTTTTGGTGTGTGAGTGTGTGTATGTGTGTTCCCTATACTGCTATTTGATAAATACACCATTGTTTAGAATGCATCGTGATTTGTTGTTTTTACAAGAAAATGTATTTTCATTCATTCTTAATTGGTGTCTCTGGATTTCCTAGGAACTTAAATAGAGTTTCCATCTGGAAATAGAATACAGAAATTCATCAGTGGGTTGCAATCTGATATATCTGCTATATGGCCAAATCATAGGGAAACTGTTCTATTGTTACAAAAACAAGCAGGAGCCAGAGGGATGGCTTGGAAATTACCATATTTTATGATGGTAGGATATATTTCAAGCAATTTGACCTTCTATGAAACATATGAAGGTTCTCATTCAATTTACACTCTTTTGGGCTTAAACTGGCCAGTTTAAAGGCATCATTAATCACTCACATTCATTTCCATTGAAACTTGCCTTTAATGAACATTTATCAGCTAGGATCAGGTTTCTTTTTGAACTTGGAACTTTCTAAGTTGCTGAGGGGTCTATCAGATACTTGATAATTTTTTAATATATCCTCTTCACCCTCTTAAGAGTTGAGCATTGTTCACTCCTTACAACACAGAGAATATAAGCACTTGTCGCAATTGTGTGTGTGTGTGTGACTATTCACTTAACATTTTTTTCAAAGCACTTTTTAGGATATTAAAAATAGTACCTGGTAACATTTAAGTAAAGGTAGCAGAAAACAAAAGAACTTTCCAGCAGCAATCATGTTCCTTGCCACCTCCTCCTCCTCCAAGAATAATAAGCATGTGGCACAAATGGAGTCTTGGAGAAGCTGTCTGCATAATTTTCCTCCAAGGCAATGGGGGTGACAGCGTGAAGATGGCAGTGATCTTAATTGGTCTACTATTTAGTGGAGTCTTAGACACAGCTTTATTCCTGAAAGATGATGTGTGGCCTGTAAGAAGACCCTGGGCCAGCTTTGCCTGTACATGTAGCCCAGAGTTCATTTCATCTGCAAATGTCTAACTTCAATTTGCCTTATTTTTTATAGTTGAGAATTTTGTAAGGGGTTGTGGCAGGATTTTTAAAACAACTGTTAGACTTTCGAACCCCGTTGTTTGAAAAGGTCCCTTTGTCGGCTTTCCTGAGTAAGTATTCTGCTTTCTAGTTTAATACTAACTATGCCAGGACTTGAATTTTCTGCCTGCCATTTTTGCATTTTTTAAAAAAATAGTTTCATATAGGTTGTAGAGTTCTTTAGGTTCAAGCTCCTGTCTTACTATGTAACAAAGTTTCTTATATGGAATTGAAATTTTCAGTCCATACTTCATTTTATCACACATTTCTAAAGGGATTTTTTGTAATGATCCTTGATGACAAAAATTTGTTAGAATGAATCTACATAAAGTGTAGGTGCCCCAATTAAGTCAGATCCAACATGTATTAGGCTTACCGCCTGTCTATACCCTGATAGTAGGACCTCCCACAGCTCCTCCTGGGAAGGGTATGCGTGTGCTGGGGGAAAGAAAGTGACAACAGAAGCCAGGACAGGGGGAAAGTCAGAATCAGACAATGCAAAAAGCTAAATGCTAAACAGGGAAGAAGAAAGAATGGTTTTGTCTGGAATGGGGGAGCTGGGACCTGAATGCAGTGGCATTCTGATGTGTGACCAGGTGCAGGAGAAAGGCCCTCATAATGCCACATGTGTCAGCTCTTGGCCTGTAGAAGTATTGAGTGGATGAGCCATTATAAAATAAGAGTACCATTTTGTATTCTCCTTAAAAGTAGTATTCCTGTGAATCAGAGGCTCATATAAAAGAAACAATACTCTCTAGAGAAAAGGTCTTCAAGCTGAATTAATTGATGTACTGACTAATACAGAATAAATGTTATATTAGCTTACTTATTTTATCTGTGTCTTTAAAAAGGAATATGGTAAATTACATTCACTTCCTAAAACTGTGACAATCACACTGATGAGAACATTTAGTTCTATAAAAAGTTCCACTCTGCTAGGGGTGTGCAGACGTTACCACCCAGGCATAAAGGAGTCCACCTCCAGCAAAGAAATGCAAACAGAACTCCGAGCTGACACAACCATAAGAGGGAGCAGTTCTGGATTTGATGCCATCTGAACTTTGGGCTCTGGAGCCCAGTGACACAGTACTTGATAGATACCTGTTTATTCCCCAAGACCTCAAAACCAAATCAAACAAAAAGGAAGTTTCGTTGTTTCTTACCAATTGCATGAGTTGCTTTTCTGTCTTTTTTGTTGTTGTTGTTGTTGTTTTTGAGGGTGGTGTTTGTTGGGTTTTTGTGGGGGAGAGGTTGAGACAGTGTTTCTCTGTGTAGCCTTGACTGTTCTGCAACTTGCTCTGTAGACCAGGCCAGTCTCAAATCCCAGATCCAACTGCCTCTGCCTCCCAAGTGCTGGGATTAAAGGTGTGTGCCACCACTACCCAGCCTGTCTTCTCTGTATTATACTAGTCTATAAATGGTTCATAATCTCCATGGTCTCATAAACGAGCCACAGTATGAAAGGCTTACATTATTCACACAATACCAACTTTAGTTGGTTGTTTCACAAGTTTTTTTCCTGAAGCCCTCACTTCATTCTGCACCCACTACAGCTTTGGTTGTATTGTGAGACAGGCAAGTCTTGAACATCTATCTGATCCTCCTGCCTCAGCCTCCCAAGTGCTGGGATTACAGGCATGCACCACTGGGTTTGGCCTCTGCTATTTTCTAATTACAACTCGATAGTAGTAATTGAGTACAATGAGACTATTTTCCAAATCTCAAGACTCACTGAAAAGTTGGTAGCATCTTCATGACCCTGAAACTACATCTGGCTGTGTGCTTCATTTACTGCCTTATGGTATACAAGCACAGAACATACATAGAAAATTTTACATGCTTCAGAATTTTGTTTTATTATTACTGTCGCTATTATCTTACTTTTTTGAGACAAGTTCTCTCTATGTAGTCCTGCTGTCCTGGAACTCACTACGTAGACCAGGCTGGCCTCAAATCACAGAGATTCGCCTGCCTCTGTTTCCTGAATGCTGGGATTAAAGCTGTTGGCAACACCTGGCTCTTGGGAATTTTTAAAAGGTTATTTATTTTTGTTATATGTAGCTCAGACTGGCCCCAAACTCAAGATCCTCCTGCCTCTGCCTGCACCTCGTGAGTGCTGGAATTACAAGAATGTCAGCACCCTTGGGATAAAGCTTTGTGAAATCAATTTTTCTAATAGAAAAGGCACACTACCCTTTACAGGCTGTACTCGCCACCAAATATGCTGGTTTCTTACAGCCCCACTTTAACTCTGAAGTCTAGAATGCCCATGCCCCTCTTGGTTTGGTTCCCTGGGGGCTTTCATGAGTTTGGTGGATGGAATAGATACATGAGCCCACGTGACAGTCACAGTCAAGTTGGCTCAAGCCTCATGAACAGTGAGAGAAAATCCAGGAAGAGAGGGGCTGGGACTGCCGGCCTTAGCATGGCCTCGGTAAATGTCAGCCAACCAGAATGGTGCACAGAGTAACCCCACGTTAGCAAGATTCCTCGTCCTTTGTTTTGTGGCTACACTCAAGACTTTTGGCCTTGACTTTCATCTGGGTCTTAAGGAATAAGTTCAAGAATGAGGGTGGGAGCAAGCGCACCTTGTCCAGGAACTTTTGAAATTCTGTAGATGATAGACTATCCTCATCCAAGCCAGAGAATGGGAGTTGGGGGGGGGCAGGATAGATTTGTAACTGTGCTGGGAATCAAACCCAGGGCCTTGTGGGTACTGGGCAAGTGCTCTGCCACTAAGCCACATTGCCAGCAGCTGTGACCCTCATAACCACGTAATTAATGGGCAGGATTAAGCTGCTTGTGCTCTTTTCACAGCAACACTTACACACCTGAGCCTTCCACTCCTGGCTGTCCTGGAACTCACTTTGTAGACCAGGCTGGCTCGAACTCACAAAGATCCACCTGCCTCTGCCTCCTGAGTGCTGGGATTAAAGCACGTGCCACCACCTCCCTGCCATTTTATTTAATTATTATTTTATGTGTGAGTGTTTTGCCTGCAGGAATATATGTGTATCACTTGCATGCCTGGTGCCTGTGGATGTCAGAAGATGGTGTTAAAGTCCCTGGAACTGGAGTTACAGACGGTTGTGAGCTTCCATATGAGTGCTGGGAATCAAACCCAGGTCCTCTGCAAGAGTAACAAGTGCTCTTGACAGCTGAGCCGTCTCTCCAGCCCGAACTTCTTTTTTTGTTTGTTTGTTTTTTTGGGTTTTTTCGAGACAGGGTTTCTCTGTGGCTTTGGAGGCTGTCCTGGAACTCCCTTGGTAGTCCAGGCTGGTCTCGAACTTACAGAGATCCGCCTGCCTCTGCTTCCGGAGTGCTGGATCAAAGGCGTGCGCCACCAACGCCCGGCTCAGCCCAAACTTCTGATGTTCTTGCTTCCCCTTCACAAACGCTGGAGTTATAGGTGTGTGCTACCACACCATTTATGTGGCAGTGGGGATCCAGCCAGGGCTGTGTGTATGCATGCCAGGCAAGCATGCTACAAACTGACCCACAACCCCAGTCCCACATTCTAGATCTTAGATTTATATTCCGCATTTGTGTTCTTGCTGCTGCGACGACACGCCTGGCAAAGGCGACTTGAGAGGGGATTTCTTTTGGTTTACGGTTTGAGGGTAGAAGCCATGGCCTTCTTCAGGAAGCTGGCCCCACTGGGTCCACCTTCAGGAAACAGAGAGGAGGAACGCTAGCGCTCAGCTAGTTTTCTTCTGTCTGTTCGGTAATGGACCCCAGCTCATGGAAGGGTGCCGCCCATAGTGAAAGTCTTCCCACTCAAGTAACCTGATCCAGATAATCTCTCACAGACTTGCCTAGATCCAGTTGACAATCAAAATTAGCCAGCCGGATGTGGTGGCACATGTCTTTAATCCCAGCGAGAGGCAGAAGGATCTCAATGAGTTTAAGGCTAACCTGGTCTACATAACAGTTCCAAGACAACAAGGGCTACATAGAGAGACCCTTCAAAATAAACAAACACACTGGGCATGGTAGCACAGAGGCAGGCGGATCTCTGTGAGTTCGAGACCAACCTGGTCTACAAGAGCTAGTTCCAGGACAGCCCCCAAAGCCACAGAGAAACCCTGTCCGGAAAAACCAAAACTAAATAAATATAAACAAATAAAACCAAAAAGAAGTAACCATTGCAGATACTGAGTATTTTTAGATTAGTATAATGTCCTGTGATAGTAAAAATTGCTATTTGTGCAGAAATCCAAAGTAACAGTGTTTTAAATCTCAGGGTTTAAACTAGAAGGACCAGGCATGTGATGCAGCCTGCAGCCATTTATAAATCAATAAACAAAAAGACATTCCAGGAGGAGGCAGCGCAAGGCTGGCAGAGCCCACTGTGCAGTTGTCCAGCCTGCCTCAAAAGCATTCATTGGTGAGCTTTGTTCCCCAAGTACTGAGTCTAACCTCGGCCGTTGTGGGGCTTCTGAGTGTAGCCATCAGAAGAGGATATATCCACACAGGTGCTGAAGAGCAGGGGTTTCCTGTCTTATGCTTTTTCTTTCAGTTTAAAACACTGAAATGGGGAGCAGGAAGGACTGTGCATCTGGGTTGGAGTGCTTGCCCAGAGAGTAGTGACCCACAGAAAGACCCTGGGCTTAATGCTCAGCACTTCGTGGTGTGTGTGTGTGTGTGTGTGTGTGTGTGTGTGTGTGTGTGTGTGTGTGTGTGTGTAGATTAATCTGGGTGTGGTGGTGTCCACCTGTAAACCTTGCACTCTGGAAGCATTGAGACAAGAGGATTGGGAACTCAAGTTAAAATAAATAAATAAACAAACCTAAAATAAAATAAATATCAGCGAATCAGGACCCACTATACTAACAGTACCTGAAACCGTAGATGCAGGGTGAGAGGCTGCTGGAGGGCAAGATTAGCCTAAGAAGAAGAATCTTGAGTTTTCCCTCTCCCTCCAGGTCTTGGGTGTTCATTAGAGAACTTTCTCCCTTGCCTTCATACTTTAATCTACATAGGATTTGGACTCTATACAGCTTTCACCACAGAAAAATGTGGCAGAGCTGAATTCACAAGTTCCCTTCTTCAAAGGTCTATGAGGCACACACAGATCTCCCCCGAACCTTCCTGCATGTCGAACAGCAGACAGCTGCAGGGGTAGGGACCGCCAGGCTGCTCAGGCCTCCTTCCCTGTATGCATAGGCTTCTAGTCCCCAGAAGAGAAGGGACAAAGACTATACAAGAATCTCCCTATGAAACTGCCATTCCCTCATGTTTCTGACAGGAGGGGACACCATGGGATTGATAGCTTGAGGGACACTTTCTGTTGTTTTGATACAATGTCATCAAATTGTTTCAACTGGAAAGGGTCTAACATTGTGTAAACACCGGCACCCAATTTATCTGAGGGAAGATGGGGTCATCTCTCAAGAAGGCTCAGCCGCACAGAGACTTGAGCACTAGTTCCAAAGCGGGAGGAAAATACTAGTAATAACTCCGGAGACAGATGGGGGCGGAGAGCTAAAAAGGGCAGACGACGAGCCGAGACTAGTCAAGAGGGACCTGGGTAGAGGTGGGAGATGAGGGAATCTAAGGGCATCCCTGCAGTTAGTGGGAACCGTAGTTACACGAAAGGCAAGCAGCTGACCTGTGGGTAGCATGTGTGTGTGCGCGCGCGCGTTCACGTAGAGAAGGAAAGGCAGGATGGCAAAATGAAAGCCAGGCAACCCCAGTTCTAGCCTCTTTTAGGAAGGTCCGCACTGATTTCCCGTGGCTGCGCCAATCTGTGCGCCCACTAGCAGTTTATGATTCCTTTCCCTTCCTCTTGCTTTCTTGGTGTAGCCTTCCTGACTGCCGAGAGA